GGCTGTCATGATTAGAGACGATCTGCCAGTGGGATCACATCCCTGAGATGAAATGGTTACTGATGCACCCTAACAGCTTTGCAAATACTGGGCAGAGTCACCTCCAGGGACTTGGGTAGGAAGCTTCAGCCACCTCTGATTACTCCTCCTTCCAGGCATCGTGTGTCTGTCCTTCCCTCTCCCTCTCCCACTCTTCCTGTATTTGCACTCAAGTGATGAAGCAGAGCCTTCCTGCTCATAAGCCATCAACACAGGCAGAAGCAGTGACTTCACAGATGAAAACACAGAAGCCTGTATACTTATTTTTCTGTGGAGGGTGGAGGGAGAAGAGTGGCACTGGTTAATCAAAATCCTTCCAGAGAACTCTGGCGAACTCCCATTACCCTTCCTGATAAGGTTTAAGTACCATCTCCTCTGGGAAACTCTTTGTAACTGACTCCACCTCCCTACTTACCAGGCCGAAGAAGGCATTTCCTCTTCTATGTCTCCATAGCCCCCTTTCCAGCTTCCTGCCAGACTACCTACCCCACCCCCAATCATGGCCTATTTCTACATCTGTCTACTCTGACAGTTTGACAGTGTCTCAGAGTCAATGACAGTTTGCTTGATCCATCTTGGGATGTCCTGAGGCCCAGGATCTCAGAAATGGCAAGTGGCTTGTTCAGAGTCACATAACAGGACTTCAATTTAAAGCCCAGTCTGTTTGATTTCAAAGTCTGTGACCTTTTCACTATGTTACAAGGCTCCTGCCTTGCCCGAAGATGAGGAAGTGACCTGAACAATTTGCTAGTATGAGTTCAGAGGGGGAAGTAGCAGAGTAGGCCAGACCACTAGAAAAGGCTTCCTGAGAAGGCCCTGCAGCCTGAGGATTCAGATGAGAAGAGGGAACATGACATACTTTAGGCAGGGTGGGAATGTTGTACACTGAGATAGAATTAAGAGGAACGGAATTATAGCTGCCAGGATGTATGTGATTTCTATATCTAAGTCATAATGATTACTACCTATCATGGAGCACCTCCCTTGCTGGCCAGAGGCTTTTACAGGTGTTATTAATTTTCACATTATCACTCTGAATAGACATCATTTTACATATAAGAAAACCTAGGCTTAGAGAGTTAAGGCAACGTGTCCTAGGGAACCCATCTAGGAGGTGGGGAGCTGGATTTAAACCCAGGTTGACCTGACTTTGAAGCCTGAGATACCCTTTCAATTACTCCATGCTGCCTCCTAATGGGCTGAAGGGCGTCTACATTATCAGGTAGATCCTGCTGCCTGAGCCTCTTTCCATGTCAAAAGGGGACTTCTGGTCAGACAGAAAGAGCAGCTACTCCTTCTAGTTCTAACCCTCTATGATCTGGGTAACCCAAATCCCTGTGGACTAAGCAATTTGCAGAAGGGGTTTTTGTGGACCTCATGAGCACATCTGGCTCCTTGTTTAGGCCTGCCTTGGATCTATGTTACAGAGAACTCCCTGCAAGTTGCTGCAGCAAAGCAGGCCAAGAAAGCTGATGGGCAGGAAGACAGAGCCTTTGCAGAAGGTCAGCCGAGGTCAAAAGACTTTGGAAATCTTACTGGCAATAGCCCCTAGGAAAGACAGCAGGATCCTACCTCTCGGTTGGCTGCTCACACACACAGGCAGACCAAAGGAGTTCAACAAGGGGAGGGAGGCTAGAAGTTGGCAAGGCTGCAGGCCCTGAGCAACCAGGGCTTATTTAGGTCTGGGAGGCAGAAATAAGTGGGTTAATGGTTTTGGCCCTTGAGGCTGGGAGGCTAGGAAGGGGGTGTAAATGGATGCTGGTTACAAGGCAGGTGGGAGAGATGTAAAGGTGGGGGCTCAGGGCATCTGTTCCAAGTCACCAGGCATGAACCATGCCCCTGGAACAGCTCAAAGGGCTAGTCTTGGCCTGGGGGGTGGGTGATGAGGTTGGAGAGAGTTTCATAAAAGGCCCTCGCCTCCTCATTTCAAAGGTATTCGATCTGGAAGGCAAGTGTGAGGGGCTTCTTATAGAGTGAACTCTCTGTCTGGGGTGGGAGGAAGTGGGGATATAAACCAAAAGACAATGGCTGGGAGTATTGATTGATGTTAAGGCACAGTAGAGAGAAACCCCATGGTGCATGCTCCAATTCTTAGCTACAAATGTCTTACCAGAGAGCTTTCCAAAGGACAAAGTGAAAAGCATCCTGCTTGGGAACATTTTCTAAACCTCTGCTTCTGAGAGCAATGAGTCCTTGCCCTGAAATTATCAGACATCCCAGGCACTGTCACCACATCCACGAACATCTCAGCCCTTCCCATGCCTCAGACTGGGGTAGGTACCTTGGAGGTCAGGGTAAGGGGCCAGGCATGGATGTGAAGCCAGTACGGCTTTGGCTGATGGGAGGTGGCAAGACTGGGGATTCCTGGTAAGTCCTCCAAGTACAAGAACATTGCAAGGGCTAGATAATGATCTGTGGATACCGGGCCTGGCAGGCAAAGGTGAAAGAACCATGGATGAATGCTGATTTTTGAAAAAGCGATCAGGTGGCAGGCAACAGTTGTCAGAAGTTACAAAGAATATCTCATTAGAAAGATGTTTCAACCAGTCAGAGGTAAAGTAAAATGGAATGGACTGCCTGGGAAAGAAGCAGGATCTCACAGTCCCTCATAAAATCCAAAGGAATGCCAGCCATTCAGCTGTTGGAGGGGTTTCTGCTGGGATGAAGGAGGGGAAACCAGAGTGGCCTAGAGGACCTCAAAGAACCCTCCCAACTCTCAGATTCCAAGCAGAATGACCTCTGACAAGTTGGACCCTAGGCTGCAGCCTCATGAATATGTCCCTAGCCAGGCGCAGTGGCACACACTTGTAATCCCAACAGCCTCAGGAGACTAAGACAGGAGGATTGTGGGTTCAGCCTCAGCAACTGCAAGGCACTAAGCAAATCAGTGAGACCTTGTATCCAAATAAAATACAAAATAGGGCTGTGGATGTGACTCAGTTGTTGAGTGCCCCAGAGTTCAATCCACGGTACCCCCCAAAAAGCATCCCTGGCCCTCAAGAAGTGGCAAGAGGTGTGAACAGGTGCTCCATGCCAAGTACTCACTCAAGGGGCCTGCACCTCATATGTGCTGGTCTGGGATAAGAGGAAGCAGGACAGAAAGTAACTTCTTGAGAGATATCTGGCAGGTAACTCTACCAGACTTTGACAGGCAGCCCAGCATGAGTCTAGGGATGACAATATTACTCCTTCAACTAAAGTAATGTCCTCAAGAAGGAGGATATTCACCATTCAGCAAATATTTACTGAGTACTTACTATGTACAAGTACTGTGCTAAGTACTGGGGGCACTTAAATAAATCAGCATGGTTCCTGCCTTCAGGGAGCACAGAGTCAAGCTAGGGAGAGGGCTACTGAAAAAATGAAAACAATCTCAGATTATGATGAGTGCAGTGATGGAAAAGAATAGGATAACATGACTAAGAGTAATGGAAGGGCCCAATTGAGACCAGGGTGGGATAGGATCAAGGGAGACATCTGTGTGACTAGGTTAGCAGAGATTTGAAGGGACCTTCCCTTGTTTCCCTGGCCCTGCTCTGGAGGTCATAGGGAAGAGAGAACACTTCCGGGGAGAGCCATAATGAAGAAAACTCATACCGCTTTCCATAATAGTTGCATAAATTTGCATTCCCACCAGCAACATATGAGTGTGCCACTCACATCCTGACTGGTGTGAGATAAAATCTTAGTTTTGATTTGCATTTCCTTAATTGCTAAAGATGTTGAACATTTTTTCATATATTTGTTGATCATTTGTATTTCTTCTTCTGTGAAGTGTCTGTTCAGTTCCTCAGCCCATTTATTGATTGGGTTATTTGTTTTTTTGGTGTTAAGTTTTTTGAGTTCTTTATACATCCTGGAGATTAATGCTTTATCTGAGGTGCATATGGTAAAGATTCTCTCCCATTCTGTAGACTCTCTCTTCATGTTATTGTTTCCTTTGCTGAGAAGACTCTTTAGTTTGAATCTGTCCCATTTATTGATTCTTGATTTTACTTCTTGCACTTTAGGAGTCTTGTTACGGAGGTCAGATCCTAAGCTGATATGGTGAAGATTTGGGCCTACTTCTCAGTTTACACCCAGGGCCTACTTCTTCTCAGTTTATACCCAAAGAACTTAAAATCAGCCTATTACAGTGATGCAGCCACATCAATGTTTATTGCAGCTCAATTCACAAGAGCTAAACTATGGAACCAACCTAGGCGCCCTTCAACAGATGAATGGATAAAAAAAAATGTTTTTTTAAAATCTCTCTCTCTCTCTCTCTCTCACACACACACACACACACACACACACACACAATGAAATTTTACTCAGTCTTAAAGAAGAATGAAATTATGGTATTTGCCAGTAAATGGATGGAGCTGGAGAATGTCATGCTCAGTGAAATAAGCCAATCCCCAAAAAAACAAAAGCCAAAAGTTTTCTCTGATATGTGGATGCTAATTCATAATTTGGGGGGGACTCTGGAAGAACAGAGTTACTTTAGGTAGAGGGGAATGAAGGGAGGGGAGAGGGCCTGAGGGTAGGAAGGATAGTAGAATGAATCAGACATTATTACCCTATGTACGTACGTATGTATATACGACTGGAGTGATTCTACATCATATACAACCAGAAGAATGAGAAATTATACTCCATTATACATGATGTATCAAAGTGCATTCTACCGTCATGTATAACTAATTAAAACAAATAAAAAAATTAACAAGAAAACTCTCACAGTTTATGCAGACAGGGTGGTACAGAGCATCACACACACACATGGGCAAAGAACACACACCAGCTACAAGAGAGCACATCACACATGTGCTTTGTCACTCTAGGGAAGTGCCATGACCCTTGAGGCATTTCTAGGTCAGGGAGAGTCACAAGGGTGCTGGGGAAATGAGGTGTTTCTGGTGTGGAGGACCTGCCAAGGACTCTCTCCCCTGCCCGCCCCTCCTCCACCATGCTCTCACCTCCATCAAGCAGTTCCTTGACAGTGCGGTAGTCATCAGCAAGGACAGCGTAGTGCAGGGCTGTGCAGCCCTTGAAGCTGGCACGGTTGTTCAGCCGGTTGTTGAAGTCATCTTCTCGTGTGACCAGAACTGTGGGGACAGCAACATAAACCCTTCCATTAGCAACATATGCTTGAGCCACCACTTTATCTTCTGTTTAGTCACTTACTCCCTCTACCTACCTACTAAACATTAAATGGCACATGCACCATGTGCCTGGCCATCTGTGCTGGGCAAGAGGAGATAAAACAGAGCCTGGTTAGTTCCACAAATGTTCACTGACATCTAATATGTGTTAGGATAAATCTTGGGGACATGAAATGAATCAACTATAGTCTCTGACCTAATCTGATGAGGGAGGGAGGCAGGCAATGAACAGAAGTTTAGAGTACTATTTGAGATAAATGCTACATTAGAGGTATAATGGGATGATATAGAAAGCCAGGGGGAGCTCAGCCTGGGCATGAAGAGAGGATCCCAGAAGATGGAGTCTGGAAGAATGAGGAGGAGCTATCCATGAGAAAAAAGTAGACTGAGATAGGGAACAGGGGCTGTTCTTAGCAGAAGAGCAACACACCTCTCTGTTCTGTCTATAATCTAGTAAGAAATTTTAATTAAAAATTTACAAAAGCAAGCAAAAATCTGAAACCATGGAAAAGTACAAAGTAGAAAAAGGATCAATATTTCAGCAACTTGAGAAAGTACATTTAATATTTTGTATATGTCCTTCCAAATTTCATACTATATGTATGTGCATATCCCCGTCAAAATTGAAATTTAGTGTATATGCAATTTATAATCCGATTTTTACCTTTAATAAATATTGTAAACTTATTGTGTGTGAGACACACACACACACACACACACAGAGGGGTTGAACACAGGTCCTAGCACATGCTAGGTAAGTGCTCTAGGTAAACTACATCTGCAGCCCTTTTTATTTTATTTTGAGACAGGGTCTCATTAAGTTGCCTAGGCTGGCTTCGAACCTGTAATTCTCCTGCCTCAGTTTCCCAAGTACCTGAGATTACACAAGTGCTACCATGTGTGGTGACTGTAAACATTTTTTCAAGATAGAAAGAATAAGCATTTTGTGTGATCAAAGATCAAAAGCTCCTAGGCTCACTCTAGCTAAATTCCTGAGCCTCTCTCATTTGATATAAAACTAGTTTTATATCTAAAATCAGTTTCATCAATTTATAGGACTCTTGCATTGGGTACCTACACAGAGCCCTTGTCTAGACAGTGGATTAAAAGGTCACCCCATCTCTGAGGCCCTCCCTTGGGAAATGAGGTCCCACAGAGCTCTACTTGTTCTGCTTGGGTGATGGTGCTTCTGTCTGCCTAATGTAAAACTCTCTGGGTACTGTCTTATGCTCCCTTCGGAGTTGGGTTTGTTGAGGGTGGAATCTGGGTCTGCCTCCCATACCACTTCTTCATGGCATATGGCCTGCAATAGGAGGCTCCTTTCACTTCTCTTGTGATAAAGGGGTATATTCTGGCAGGAGGTGACCTTGCCTAGGTAGTCAAAAGCACCAGGTAATTCTTAAAACATTCTTCTCAGAGTGCTCTTGGAATGAAGTCTATGCATTTTCTCTCCTCCAATACTGGACTTCCTATTTAAAGTTCCAAAGACCTTTCTAACACTAATTGATTTCATTTATTGACCACCTTCTACTCTGTGCCAGGCCTGGTTACGTCACACAAACCTATCTAATTCTCACAGCTACCTAACATAGTAGGTATTCTTATTCCCATTTTATAGATGAGAAAATTGAAGCTGAGAGGTTGTACATACCCGCATTCCAGCTACTTGGGAAGATGAGGTGGGAGTTTGAGGACAGTCTGGGCAACACACACACACACACACACACACACCCCATAGAGAAAATGGCAGTGGGAGAGTGAGGATCAGAACCAAAGTCTGAGTCCTTACTTTTTCTTCCCATCATATCATGCTGTCACCCTCATCTGGAAAATGAGGGAGTCCAGAGCCCACAAAAAAGCAGCAGATCCTGGATGTTCTAGTTCCAGCCTTGATTCTTACTCCCTTTTCTTTTCCACTCCAGCAAAGATGCAAACATTCTCTCTGCAGACCTGCCCTTACCAAGAAATGGCCTGGGGGTTGTAGCCAATATCCCAAGAAGCTAGCCTGGGTGGAAGTACTTTGAATGTCTGGCCAGAATAAAGTTGGGGGAGCCTGAGCTGGCAACCAGACCATTCTCTCTGTGGTCTACAGAATCAATGGTCAACCAGTTTTTCCAGTCCAGACAGGGACTCTCCAGATTGCTAACCTCTCACTTCTACCCCTGGGTGTTAGATGACCTTTCCGGAACAGGAAGAACAGGAAGTAAGAAATTCTCTGAGCAGCTAACATACAAGTCCCATGTGCAATGGCATATACACTTACCCCTTAAGAGCCCTTTAGGATCTCAATCAGAGATTACTAACTCCTACTCACGAATAATCTTATCAAATCATGCTAGGTGATCTTGTTTCTAGCCTACTGCAGATCAGAAGGAAATAAGAAGGCTGGGGAAGATGCTTTAGAATCAAGCAGATTGATTACAATCAAGCACTGGCCAGGCAGGGAGGGAAAAGAACAGGACAATGAAAAGCTGCAAAAGGAATTCAGAGCACAGCACCTCTAAAGGCCTTAAGGGCATCACTGAACTGCCACATAGGACATTAACTGCTAGATATAATGATGAACCTGAGGAAAAGTGATAGTTGGCTCAAGAAAGCAAGAAGGGTATCATCCATTTAAAAAAGAAAACCCATCATTCATTCAACAAACAACGTTTAATGAGCACCAGTGCAAGGTGGTAGCTTCTGGAGATACAAAAAATAACAACACATAGTCTTGACTTTGGGAAGTTAACTGCCTAATGCAAGAATCAGACCACTGAACAGACTTATAACACATCTCCCAAGTACAATGATAGAGATATACACAGGATGCTTACCATAAAAGCTAAACGACTTCAAGTAATATGCTAGGGCTGCTTTGGTTCAAATGTCAGCTTATTAACAATGTCATAGCCCAGCTAATAAGCAATGTCCATGAAAAGGACTCTTGCTCACTTCTGTGATCTCATTTTTCACCATCTCCTTCCTAATGCTCTGTCTTGATTCTGAGTTTTTTTTTTTTTTTTTTTTTTTGACACTGGGGATTGAATCCAGGGGTGCTTAACCACTGAGCCATGTTACCAGCCCTTAGACATGGGGTCTCGCTAAGTTGCTTAGGGCCTCGCTAAGTTGCTGAGGCTGGCTTTGAATTCACCATCCTCCTGCCTTCAGCCTCACAAGCCGCTAGGATTACAGCCATGTGCCACTGTGCCCGGCTTGCCTCTGCATTTTTAAAAACACTATTCTACCACCTGGAACACCATCCCATCCCCAGACATTCAGTTGTTGACTCTAATTCATTTTCAGATTTCTAATCAGAAGTCACTCCCCCAGTGACTCCTCTTAAGTGTGAGGTAGCTACTGCTCCTAAGAGCTCCTCCAGTGCTACAGGCCTCTCCCAATGACAGCATTTATTACACTCTGCTGCAACCACTTGCTTATATGACTGTTTCTCTGCTACACCAAAAGCCCAACGAGGACAGGCAGTGTGACCTATTTTTTCCACAGTTGTGCCCCAGAGCCCAGCATAGTGTCTGGCCATAAATATGTGCTTGACAAATACTTGCTGGACCAACAAATAAACACAAGTTGAGTGTCCATAATTTGGAAACCAGAAATCTAAATGCTCTAAAATCTAAGACTTTTTTGTGTGCCAATATGATGCTCAAAAAATATCTGATTGTAGAGCATTCAGATTTCAGGTGTTTGGATTAAAGATGCTCAACCAGTAAAATCTAGGCAAATGTTCCAAAATCCAAAAAACTCTAAAATCTGAAACATTCTGGTTCTAAACATTTTGGATAAGGGATATTCAATCTATATAACATATATAGGCAATATGTACATTAGTTTTGGTTTTGGAAAAAATAATAATACCAGCCCACAAGTATTTGCTGGCTGTTAAATAAGTTAAGCTCTAGAGCCAGACCGCTTATGTCTAAATCCCAGTTCCAAATTTCCTGACTGTGTCATCTTTCACAATTTACCTAACTTCTCTGGGCCAAGTTCCTTTATTTATAAATGGAGGAGTACTAATAACATATTCACTGGGCATTTTAAGGATTACTAGACACTGAATGAAGGAATCTGAGATGGTATCTGACCTAAAGTACTTCTCAATGAATGTTAGCTATAATTCTATCTAGTCTGGGCTTCCAAAAGTATATTTTTTCCTTGGGGGGGAAAATATTTCATTTGGGAAATCCTGAATATATTCTTCCTCTGGGAAAGGCACAGGAAGCATGAGAATGTAGGTCTGAAGTCATAACCACATGTTTCATTTGGTGTTCGTCAGCAGTTTCTTGTTTGCTGGCTTTTCACCAAATCCTTGTTAGAATTCTGCAGTACTGGTGTTCTACAGAATACTCTTTGGTACTGAATAGTGCATTATAATCTGCAAAGCAGTTTAGTTTCCTTTTTTATTTCAGAAAAACTGTGTGAAGTGTTAAGTTTATGCTCCCATTTTATACAGGAATTCAGAAGGATGGCAGAATGATAGAGGCCCATTTTGTGCTCTTAGCATTAAGCTCCTCCATACATCATCCAGTGTTAGGAGCCCTGTCCTAGATCCTAACTAACTGAAGCCACTCCTTTTAGATCTTGTACTTTTCTCAAGGTACAAAAGGTGGTTTTAGGTAGGAAATAGGTGATGGAGAGGAGTAGCATCCCTCAAATGCACACACTTACCCCACCCTCACTGAGGAAGATTAAGCAAACACACAGAAGCTCAAGGGATTCATCCAAGCCTGTCCCAGCAGCTGGCCACCAAGGTAGTGTTCTGAAGCCAGTGAACCGCCCCCTTCCCAACAAAGACATCTACCAGCCTGTCTCCAGCACAGGGGGGAGGAAGGCTCAGACTCCTGCCTTCCCTCCCAGCCTGCCATTCCTATCCCTGTAGGGGTCCTACACCCCTCTGACCACAGGAGGAGTGATAGGTATCACTCTGCTTTCTTCTGCCCCAC